ATTCGATAATTACATTCTGATTGGCTGTTTGCTGTTGGATTCTATAATTAGGTCAGTGATTCATCACAAAGGCTCTCGATAAGCTCAAAATTCGAAAATTGATCACTTTTTTCGATTATAAATGGAACAAGAACAGATTGTTTATTGTTTACTTGAAGGAAGAGATGTTTTTGCCGTTATGCCAATGGGGATTGCTTGTCGTGAGGTGTTGGAATAGCAACATTACGACTGGGGTAAACTATTAATAGTAACCTTTACTTGAGTTTCATTAATTTCAAACAGACTTGATACGTTATATGTTGCTCAAGAAAATTATCTTTTGGTTGATGTAGAGATGCAGTTGCATGTAAGCCTATTCGAAACACTTTGCGATTTACAAGGTTTCGCTGAGAGAGCGAAACAGAAGACGGTATTAAATTGCCGTTTGAAACGAAACGATCTGGACGCTCTATACTTTATACTTTATTTAGAAATGGTAAATACATTGCAGCCATGAGCTGAATTGCGTATTATACTTACAATTAAAAATTATTAAAAATTAGAGTTTTGAAATATATCAAAGTATTATAATTAATTAACTAAATTGTCAAAAGTGTCTGTTTATAATAAGCATGCAAAAGTTATTAAGAATATAAAATAGGTAAATGAAGAGTAAAACCTATTCAGTTTTGCTACTCGATGCCATAATAAAACTATTACTAAACCGATTGGTTTTACAAACTGGAACGTCAAAAGATCTGATAGATCTCAGGTCGTGGATGGAGTTATTCCTTGGCGGCAAGAGGTAATGTAGACTGTGATTAGAATCTTTGATAATTGCATTAAACAATTTCTTGCAGTCGTTTTGATGGTGAGTGGAAAGATGTTCAATTCCACTGAGATTTAAAGCTTCCTCATATTTCAAATGGGGATAAATAATTCCAAATACGCGTTTCTGGACTCGTTCCAAATCTTGACTTAAATACTTGGGTAGGCTGTAGTGGAAAACCGGGACAGCATAGTCCAACACAGATCTTATACAGGTTATGTAAAATGCGATTAGTTCTTGTATTGGGATTTTTGCTCTCTTAAGTTGAATAAGGAAATATATCCTTTTGGAGGCTTTCTTGACTAATTCAGTGATATGTTTATTCCACGTAAGGTTGTTGCTAATGTTAAGACCAAGCACTTTAAAATCGGATACAACTTCTATGATTTGATTCTCAATTGAAATTGGGTTAAGCTCGGGTTGATTCCGTGCAAAAGAAATTCGTATCTCCTTACATTTACTATCAGCATTTAATTGCATTCTATTGATATTGGACCAATCTGAAATTTCATTTGCAATCAGTTGAGCTTCACTGTGCTCGCCTTGCAATACGACTTCCGATGCCGTGGTATCGTCAACGTATTTCCATAAGTTCTCACTATGTTTCTTCAAATCATTAATCATTATTAAGAAGAGCCAAGGGCCTAATTTGGTTCCTTGAGGAACACCAGCCGGTACTTGGCCCCATTCAGAAAGGCAACTATTTGACAGCTTAACCCTTTGATATCTATCCGATAAAAAGTCGATAATCCAGTTGATGATACTAGTTGGTAAATCTAAAGCACCTAACTTGATCCTTAGGATACCATGATCGATGAAATCAAATGCCTTTTTATAGTCAAATAGAAACACTCGGATAGTTGCTCCTGTTCCGTCCAGCATTGAGGTCCAGTGATGTAACATGTCTATTAAAGCAAAAGTGGTTGAAGAATTAGGAATAGAACCAAATTGATTTGAGTCGATGGATTTCAGAACCGCAGGTTTGATATATCTATTTACCACACATTCTTCAGCTACTTTGGATATGCTCGGGGTCAGTGAGATAGGTCTGAGATCTTTTTCTAAGATTTGAACTGTCTTAGATTTAGGTATAGGTAAAACATTGGCTAGTTTCCACATCGATGGAAGTCGTTGTTGCTTGAAGGAAGCATTTAAGATGGTACTAATTGGGAACGCTAATATAGCTGCATAATCACGAAGAAGCCAATTTGATATTTCATCAGGACCACAAGTTTTTGTAGGGTTCAGCTTTGATAAATATGAATACACTGTTTCTTCAGTGACTACTAAAAACTCAGGGTTGTTAACTTCTAGCTCGAAAGGAAGAAGGGGGCTGGGCAGTTTATATACAGATAAGGGATCCAACGCTCTCTTCTTTTGTAGAGTTCTTTACCAAATGAAATAACTGAAATAAATTTCGTACTTTTCGCCGCCAACAAGAATTGCACACACAATCTGATAAGTGAGACAATTTATTAATAACAATGCCAATGGCGACAGCGAAGCACACATAATATAAATGCTAATGTGGTCGCACGACTTCCCTCACGATTTGAAGTTTGAGACTGGTTTTCTGTTGAAATTCCTCCTAATTTGCCTGTTCCGATATTAGTTGAAAATGAGCACTTGCAAATTTGGCAATTACTGACCGCGTTGCTTGCTTTTCATTTGGAGTTAAAACCGCAGAATAAGGCACACAGAAGGGCCACTTACGTCGGAAGCTTTGAAGTTTTTGTCACCCTGGCCGCCATCTTCCTAGCCAGTTGATTACATTTTCTCGGGCCAATAAACGCGCTGTATTGGCTGAAGACCCCGCCTTCTGGCCAGTCAACTGCATATTTTTGCATAGAAAAATGGCGACACGTTGCACTGATACTGGTTCTGATCTTTATTCTGTGGTACGAATAGTACGAATAGTCCGCGAATAGTCGACGAATCAGTACGAATAGTCCGCGAATAGTCGACGAATAGTACGAATAGTCCGCGAATAGGCGACGAATAGCACGAATAGTCGACGAATAGTGCAATAGAGACTTTGCAAGGCTTTGCAGCAGTGCTGTAGAACTAAATTTACCGGGAGGGCTCTATTGACAAACATGAAATCGTGAAAACATTCGTTGACGTACGTCAATGACGTCATACGTAACCGGTAAAAATTATGGGAACCACTGAGTATTTTGATAAAATATAAAACAACAGTAACTTCGAAAATAAACATTTTAATATTGTAGCTTTCCCGCTGGTCATATTCAGCGAATTTTCTCCCGGTACCGCAGGCTCGCATTTTCAGCGGACTTGTTGTGAAAAATTGAAACTTTTGCATTTTGCACAGAACTTCCCACTTTCTGTAAGATGTCCGCTGACAATACGAGCCCGCACGAGTGGGAGAAATTTTGCCAATTTTGACCAACGTGTTTTGACTAAAATTCAGTCATCGTCAGGAAATATATTTCATATTTTTAAAATTTATAATCATTCCTGATGGTAAGTGGTAACCACATGAGCGAGTCATGAATTTTACTGATGGAATTTTATAGGAATTTTACTTGTAAGTTGTGACGTTGTAACTGAAGATTTAAGGGCTTAAGTGATTTCGTGTGCTTGGAAAACGTGATTTACATCACAAAACAAGAGAAGGTATCGATTTATTATTTAAGCCCGTTTTTGGGCAAATTTGTTCGCGCGAAGCGAAAACCAAATTTCAGCAATGTGATTGGTCAGCGAAAAAATTCGCCGCGAAAAAGTTGGATCAGCCTACTCTCTTATTTGTCGCTTCGCGCGAACAAACTCACCAGTGGAAAACGTCATTCTAGTGATTGTCATTCTACTTCCTGTTAAATATTTGTTAAAATTCAGTGGTCCCGTAATTTTTACCGATTACGTATGACGTAATTGACATCAACGAATGTTTTCACGATTTCATGTTTGCCAATAGAGCCCAGCCCCCCCCGCCCCGCTTCGGTAAATTTAGTTCTGCAGCACGGTGGAAAGCCTTGCCAAGTCTCTATTGCACTATTCTTCGACTATTCGTACTATTCGTTGACTATTCGCGGACTATTCGTACTATTCGTCGACTATTCGCGGACTATTCGCACTATTCGTCGACTATTCGCAGACTATTCGTACTATTCGGCATGTAGTAAAACACTGACTACCGGAACACCGGAACACCACCGGAACACAGGAACACCACCATTTTGTTTGGGGTTAGGGTTAGGATTAGGGTTTGGGATTAGGGTTGGGGGTTAGGGTTGGGGTTAGGGTTAGGTGGCGTTCCGGTGTTCCGGTGGTGTTCCGGTGTTCCGGTAGTCAGTGTTTTACTACATGCCGTACTATTCGTCCACTATTCGCTTCACTATTCTAGTTTTATCAATTGCCACATTATAATGCGAGTTTGTTTGTTAATACTGGTTTTTGGGTGCAGTCATTGGTTATTTTTTGACAATTGACGTGTGAATGGGGCGTGTTATGAAAAGGGGCGTTTTACAAAATAACGGGCCTTGCTTGCAGGCCCACTATCAACTAGTTCCCTTGGGCCTGCACGCGGGCTAATAATATTTCTAGCAATTTCGCTAACTTTTCACCGACTTTTCATTTTTCCCTGGTGGTCATGCAAAGCGATTTTAATCGCAAAACGGTGAACTTGTTCTCAACTATTATACCAAGAAACAGAATATACTATTTCAAGGGACTTATGGAAACGATTTAAAGAATAAAGTGATGAACCAACTCAACAAGGTTAACCAAACCTTTGATGAGGACGAAGTCGAAAGCAACGCGATAAAATCTCAATGTCAGGACGATCGAAGGCCGTGAAGAAAGCAATACTACGATGATAACATCTCATAACTAAAATGAAGCCAACGACGAAAACGATGCAGACGGATTATCACCTGAAAAAATCTCGAATAGTCCATGCAAGAACGCAAACATCTGCAATAAAACTTTACCGTACTCGTGCTCGTGTAATTGCAGATCATTGGCAATCGAACTTGAAAGCGTAAAGTCGGACATAGTTATTTTACAAAATAGCATTGAGTCGTCAAATAATAAAAACACAAATTCCTCTGAAGAGTTAAGTAAGCTATAATTAGAACTAAAAGAGGGACAACATAAAAACCGCTTGCTTGTAGCTCATATAAAGACAGTGGAGGAAGAACGAGATTCACTCCGCCTAGCTTTAAAGCTCCTTATGCAAGACCATACAAATAAATATGTTGCTGTGACTAATGACCGGAACGAGCAAGGGCAAGGCAGTCACTGGAAAATTACAGGCAAAAAATCAGATAAAAACGACGACAGCAAAAAGATAACCAGCTATGATGAAGGCATGTCTAAACCTGCAGTCAACTCAGCTACAATTGGCGATGCAAGTGAAGAAGATACAAATTTATCATGGTGCGACCACAACAGCTACAGTGTTTTGGAAGATCTGAACGAATCATGTCACGTGATTGACGAAAGGCAACCAACATTCGACGGGTAAGCAAAGCAAAACAAGCTGAAGTGAAGTCTCCCTCGGCAAGGAAACGAAAGACTGTTATCGTTGGAGACTCGATAGTTAAAGGTCTACAACAACATAAGCTAGCGAGGGCGGCGACGCAGGATGTTACTGTTAAGTGCTTTCCAGGATCTACAGTAGGCGACATGAGTGATTAGGTTAAACCCATTTTAAGACGAAAGCCAGACAATATTATTCTACACGTGGGAACAAATGATACCTCCAAAAGAAAAGCGACTGAAATTATGAACGATATTGGTAGATTATGCCAAGAAATTAAAGAAGCGGCTCCTGATGTCGAAATAATACTGTCAGAATTGACGAAACGAGAAGACAACGAGAAAGCCAAACAAACGGTAAATGAGGTAAATAAATTGTTAGAAAACTATTGCACCGCAACTAATTTAAGCTTAATAGCGCATAATAACATAACGAACACGTCGCTAAATACAGTAGATCTCATTTACATCTGAACAGATATGGATCCTCCATTTTCGCAAGGAATATTATTAAATATCTACATCATTTTTAACCTAAATAGTTTTCCAGTCTTTAGCAGCAGATGTTCAACTGATGGGGAGTCAAGTCCCTATGCATGTGAAAATTTTCCACATTTTGAAAAAGTTAATAATATAAAATACCTACAATCGCTGAAAAGATTTAGAGTTGGTCATTTGAATATTGCTTCATTACTCAAACATGTTGATGAACTGAAAATATATCTTGAAAAAGAGCCGCTCGACATACTAAGTATAAATGAAAGTAGATTAGACGAAACGATAAGTTCGGAAATTGTTGGCATACCTGGCTATGATATGATTGTAAATAGTCGTAACCGGGAGGGCGGCGGTGTTGCTGTTTACTACCGCAGTATTTTGAATGTTATAAATAGAGAAGATTTGATCCCGGATAATATCGAGGCAATATGCCTTGAAGTTGTTAAGCCAAAATCCAAGCCTATCTTAATTACATCTGTTTATAGGCCACCAAGTTCGCGAATTGAGTACTTTGAGAAAATCGAAATCTTATTTCAAAATCTTGATAGTGAACATAAGGAATTGATCATTGTTGGCGATTTTAATTGCGACCTTTTGAAGAATAATTTAAGCAATCATACCAAAAGACTCAATGAAATAATTAATCTATTTCAAATGACCCAGGTCATTGAACACCCAACACGAATTACTGATATAGCACTGCAACTCTTCTGGATGTAGCGATTGTAATAGTATCCGCAGACGAGAGCTTTTAACTTAGCTAATGACCATGCGTGGTCATTAGCTAAGCTTATAGCTTACGTGTGCGCATAGTTTTTGCTGCGGAATTAGACACGAGTGACCGCGAGGAAAAATTCTGTTGTGTTTGATTTTTTTGTCCATGCGTGGCAGAAATTATACCGTGTGCGGGGTTCGCGCGTTATTAGCTCAGCTGTAAATATGTGACAGCCAATGAAAACACGTATCATTTCCACGTGATATTACTGATTCAGCATTACAATAGTCAATATGGCGTCCAATGAAGTTCTTAACGAGATTGTGGCAGAAGAAAAATTGGTCGAAATATGGCCAGATCACCCCTGTCTTTATGACGTTCGTTCAGCTGATTTTAAGAACAGAGATAAACGACAAAAAGCTTTAGAATAAATTGCAATTGCAGTTAATCAAAACGGTAACAATGCTCATGAATTATTTATTTGTTTATCGACTTTATATAATTCTATTCAGGTATTTCTACACAATAACAGGAAAGTCACATATGTTTTTATATTTTGCAACAGTTGACTGGGCAAAAAATAAACTCAAAGCCCTCAGAAACTGCTTTACAAAAGCGAAAAAGCCACCACCGTCCGGAAGTGCAAGGAGAAACCCCTCGAAACGAACAACTTGGGTCTTGGATAAATTACAGTTTCTTGAGCAATTCATTGCCACAAGGTCAACAACGTCTAACTTGGACGAGGTACGATAATTGTAATGTGTTTGTGAGATCAGTGTTATTTGAGACCACACATGTATTCCTGCCACGGTACGGAACCCGAGGCAGATAAAAAATAATTTGTCAACTCTGTGTGCTGGTTTTTCGCATTGGTTGTTGAATTTCTCGATGAGTTTGTTTGCAACCCACACAGTTGGGGATCACCTCTCCACTGACCATTCGTGAAGTTCAAATGCTCAACATCTTCAAAGTCTTGAACACTGATATAGTTGTTCTTGTTTTGTTCAACCATAAAATTATGTAGGCAATTGCAACATGCAGCAAGAATAATGTCAACTACTTTGTCAGGGTGAAGCTTAATTGTTGTTAGAAACACTCTAAATCTGTTGGCTAAAATGCCAAATGCATTTTCTACAACACGCCTTGCTCTTGACAGCCTGTAGTTGAAGATTCTCTTGGGTTTGTCCAAACTTCGATGTGGATAAGGTTTCATGATATCTTTTCGTAATGGAAATGCATCATCACCAACAATGTGATAGCATATTTTTGTAGTAATTCCTTCAATATTTTGTGGGGCTGGCAATCGAAGGGTCTTGGTATCTAAAGCTTTCTTCAAAGATGAATCAAGAAACACACCAGCATCCCCAGCCCGCCCAGTTGCCCCAACATCCACATATAAAAACTTATAGTTAGCATCAACAAGAGCAAGAAGTAAAACACTAAAAAAGTGTTTGTAATTAAAAAACTCAGAACCAGTGTCTGCTGGTTGTTGTATTGCTATATGTTTGCCATCTAGGGCCCCAACACAGCATGGATAGTTCCATTTTGTGTAAAACTCATCTGCAACTTTTAGCCAATCATTCTCAGATGATGGTACCTGAAATAAACAGCATGATAAGCTTTAACTTTTACTAAATCATACTTTACAGATGAATTCTACTGTGGTAGGTGAGACCGAGAATAATGATGATGATGCTGATGATCCCATGCTACTTGGTGGAAATAATTCTGATGATGATTTCGATCACCCAACTGAAACAAATACAACACCTGCAGTGCACTCAACCAAAATGCCAGTAAAACCTAGGCCCAAGTCTCTAAAGAAGAAGATACAAGAAGAGGAATTTAATCATTCTCGTACCCAGAGCCCTTCTTACGCGCGTTCGACCGAGCCCGACGAGGGGCTCTGGCCAAATCCATATCAAACTGGCTTCTGATTGGCCACAACGAAATATATGGTTTATTATAGTTAATATGAATAAAAATACACAAGCGCTCCACGAAGCGTTGGTTTCCCTTTGAAAATTGGGAGAAAAGACATTATTAAAGTTGAAAGAACAGCAGTACGAAGCAGTTAGGAAGATTGTTGTTGATAATCGCCCACAAAAGCGGTAGATGTCGCTAATTTTATTTATTTAAATCAATTGGTTGATTGAAATTAATAGGTTGAGACGTGATGTTCTCATAGCAAAAAGTCAGCATATTTATGGCAGATGCTCGTCGTATTTCCAAATCAGTGATGTTAATCAAACAAATCTGTGTTACATGTTCAAAGCTGAAGTGCCATCTGAAGAGAAAATATTAAAGCCAGCCAGAATATGAAGTTAATTGTGATGACTATTTTCTTCCTAGAAACCGATTTTTTACAATTTTCAAATGATTTGCAGTATAGTATGTCTTATGTATAACTGTTGACTTTTAATAAAACACAAAAAAGTCTAAAAATCTGTACAACAGCGACTTAAAATCGAATATAAAATAGTGAGACAATCTCTCGTCTTCGTATCCGTAGCCATTACTGCTTTGGCAACGTTTAAGAGGGAAATATATACTAAATTTTTATCAACATGCATTGAGAACATCACGTCTTACCTACTAATTGATTTAAATAAATAAAATTAGCGAAACCTACCGCTTTTGTGGGGTTTTCCTGGAGAAAAACTTTCAAAACGAAACAAACAAGAAAGCCGAAGTGTTTATCCGCGTTTGACGTTGAGCATGCGCAGTGTTTAACCGGATACCATGTTTTTATGGTATCTGGTTATGGATTTGGCCAGAGCCCCTCGTCGAGCTCCGTTGACCGCGCGTAAGAAGGGCTCTGGGTACGAGAATGGAATTTAATGTTATGAAGGGTCTTGCCTCCTCAATTGCCAAAGAGAGAAAAAAAGAAAAAAGTGAAGTTGGAGAATGTGAATCATATGGAAAATTCTTAATTGAGTCACTAAAGAAATTTGATGAAGCAACAAGACATTTTGTACAGTACCAGATGAATAATGTTCTGTTCCAGGAACAAATGGGTATGTTAACACCAGGCCAATCCAACCTGACTGCACATCAGCGAGAACAGTACCCCGTGCAGCAACCATACACCCCACAACAACAACAGCAACAGCAACAGCCCTATTTTCAGTTTGTGAATAATCAAGGAGTTTGACTTAAGGGGGTGGCTTTGTTGGGTTCCATTTTTATATAATTGGACTTTAAGTTAAAGTGAACTTTGTATTACTTTATACACTGTTGTGTTTATGAGATGTATATGAATCTAGCATACAAAATGTATACCTACTTTAAGAAATTGTTCCTTCATTGCTACAAAAATCGCTTGACATGTCTCGTTAATGATATCCGATACTGTCCTCTCACCCATTCTGTACTGGAATGATAGGCTTCTAAATGATTCGCCTAGAGTTTAATTTTGCTATTAGTTTTATGAAATCAGGAACTTGATTTTTGGTTAACCTTTAATGCATTGTACGTTACAACATACGAGTAGCTAGAAAACGTAAGGTAACTGCGAGTCTCTCTTCGGGACAGATACCAACCTCGCAAGCCAGGGTCTTTTACTTCCGCACGGCGCTACAGCAAAGACCCTGGTTCCCTCTGGTCACATGAGCTCCTAAAAATTAGGGCAACAAGAGGTCCTAGGGGAGGGTAGCCTGCATGGCAGGCGGTTCCTAAAATTGGGCAAGCCTGGGAAATACCGCCTGCTGCGTTTGGCAGTGTAATCGAATTCCCCGTCCACCAGTGGACGGGAATTGATGATTGGCTACGAGTCTGAGTCGCTGTCACTCAAAAGTGAATACACTTTAATATGTAAACATACGTTTGACACTTTAATGATGCATGCGTTTGCTTTAATTAATAGGTGTTGTAAAATTGAACGCTTCTCGAAAGGAACGCGCGAACTGATTGTCAAACGTGAGCAAGAGATAGCAGTTAAAGATTTACTCCTTGGTTTTGGCCATTCTATGGGAAAAGCTTGATTTTTACATTGTTCTTGTTGGCGCGAGAAAATATAACGAGAATAGATACAGACGGCCGTATAGTCTTTCTTGCAACGGGTTTTATAACAGGACTATTACAGTATTAGTCTATTACGCCTATGCCTATTAATAGCCGCTTCACTTTCTGAACTTTTTAAGGCTTTCGTTACCACACGGCTTCGTTAGGGAGACGAGACAGTTCATATTGGCCGGCTGAGGTTTTTAATATACAACTGTCTATTTGTTCGAACGTACACAGGAAACGCGTTTATGTCTCGTTTGATTATGGCAACCAGTTCGCTTGCATTTCAGATATTTCGCTCACACGGTTTACAAACTTGGTCGGATAGTTCCGAGGTAGAATTAACTTCGATTCCTAAATGAACTGAACCGGCAATTCGGCTTATTTCGGCCAAGGTTTTACCACTGTCGTA